CCACCTCCTGGCTCTTCTCACACGAGCAAGTGGTGTCCCCCTTTGGGCCTGATGCCAGCCTACCCATTACAGCCATCGGGTGCCTGCTCGCAGTGTTGAGCCAGGTCTCCTCCGTCTCCGTCGACGGGGGCCAGTCGTCCCGCAGTGGCCGGACTTCCTCCAACTCGCCGCTACAGCGGTGGAGGGCCAAACCCTGAATGGTAAGGTCTTCCTCGGAAAGGTACGCACTGCACCCCCCTGTTCACCGAAACTGCAACGGGCAGGTTGGGGGATGTCCTTCCTCCAGGCCCGAGCGACTGCCACCTGCTGGGGGTGCCGTGGCTCCCTGCCTCCTCTTGCCACCCTGCTGGGAGGCTCTCCCAGCAGTGCGGCAAGAGGAGGAAGCGAGCAGCTAGGATCAGATCGGGCGTGTCCCCCTACAGTTGGATTTAGGACGACAAGTACGAAATTCCCAGAAAATGCTCAAATTGTTCAAAAATAAGAAAAATCGTCCCCAGACTATTTTTGGACTATTTTTGCACATTCCTCCTGTGGAGGGACAGGCCCGACTTCAAGCTACGAGAAGGGCAAGCAGAGTCCGCCAGAGCACTCCCCGCAGGAAGGATGCCGACGGCCGTGCAGGATTGGCAGTCTCTCGGCAGGCCCACAGGCTAAGCTCGCCCCTGGCGGTCCAAGACCTGGCTTGGGCAACATGGAGTGGGGATGGACAAACCCCCGTTTAGAAAAACGTGGTTTAGTGAAAACGACCTCGGGCCCAAACCTGGCGGGCGCAAGCCTGGAGAATGACGGCCGCGGCGCCCTCTCGGGAACCGAAAACGGACAATTCACTAATCGACGCGTCGGGGTAGGAGGTCTGTCCACCCCCGAATGGAGCTTTTACGTACGCGGGTTCTCTGCAAGCTGATCACCATGGAAGTATACGACGCCGGTCGCACCAGAAACCACGAGTGTACAAAGCGCCCGCTCCACATTCTGCAGCAAGGAGAAAGGCTAAGCTCGCCCGGCGGTCCAAGAGCTGGTTTGGGCAACATGGAGCTTTTACGTACGCGGGCTTCCTCCTCCTCCTCCTCCTCCTCCTCCTCCTCCTCCTTGGTGGGTCGGTGGATGAGGGTCGGTGAGACCCTTGGCCAGACCCAAAGGTGGATTTACAAGGAGACGGAGGAACCGCGCGCAAAAACCGGGACAGAGAGCTCAACGGAGGAGCCCGCAGCAAGACTGAGCAGGCTGGCATTTGCTGCAGCAGGCAATTGCTCCTCTTCTCTTCTCGGGGGCGCACAAACATGGATTAGCGATCCATGGATTTGGCGCGCGGTCGCCAGGTCCATGGATCGGGGCAGGTGCCCTCCCCAAAATGCGGCCGGTGCCGCCTCGTTCGGCGGCGCAGATTCGCGGTTTCCCATGGACACGGAACCCGTCGCTAATCCACGCCCCCTTGATCCATCTTTGCGACCGCCTGACTTTCTGCAAGCTGATCACCATGGAAGTATACGACACCAGTCGCACCAGAAACCACAAGTGTACAGAGCACCCGTTCCAAATTCTACAGCAATGACGACTGCTGACGCACGGCCCAGTGGGAAAGAAGTCATTCTGTCAAGGGTCCTTGGCGACCCCCGCCCGCTCTCCACCGGCACACTCGCACAAGCATACTGGCGTGCTGCATGATTCCACACACACACAAGGAGACGCTGAGCAGGTGGGATCAATCTATGTCGGATGTCATGGTAGGTCGGCCATCGCATGAAATGTGCTAGGTACATCTGGTGTCTTAGAATCCCAAGTAACAATAACACCTAACCTTGTCAAAGACCCATAAGACGGCCCCCCGGAGTGCCGCAAGTTGGTTACCAGAAGTTCCAGCTATGCCCATAATAGGCTCCAAGACAGCCCACACATGGCCCCAATAGAATAACACTATCCCTTCCAGATATGCTGGGAGAACACAAGGTGTCGAACGAATGGACGGCCAAAGGTGCGATCACGAAGGCCCGCAGAAGTTCCATCCCGACTGCCCTCAGCCTACGAAACCATCGCAGTGGTGCTGGCGACAGCAGGCGGAAGCAATAGGATAGCACACATACAAGGAACATAGATCGGGGAATGCGGGCCTCTCCGCCTCAGTGGCAATCTACTATGAACATGCTGCTGGCGCGTGTTCCTGCGTGCCTGCCTCTCCATGATGTCCCGCAGCCGTGGAGGCACGGAGAGGGGAGGCAACGAGAGGCAAGTCGGCGACATGGCTCCAGCAAGCCTGTGCGCTGCATCGCGCCTCTCTGCTCGTGGCTGGTGCAGGCATCAAGACGCACTGAACCTACTTTTTTTGACCCGCGGGTCGAGAGCGCACCTCTTCCAGTCGAAGCTAAGCGGGCCGCGCACAGCTTTAATTTTCAGAGGGGGGATGTAAAGGGGACCCAGGACACACAAATAAATACACACAAATAAAAGGATTCCCCATATTTTCGGGGTTTCTGTCTTCCCCCCCACTTCCCATATTTTCCTATATTTTCTGCGGAATCGAGGATTAATTGTGTCTGTGTGTTTCTTTTCCTCCTGAGGATGGCAGAAGAGGCATGGAACCTACAGTCGGCTGGCCCCTTGCCCCTGCCTCTGGCTGCAGCGCGACACGCCGAGCCTGCAGGTCCATGCTGTAGGTGCTGTGCTGCCTCCCCGCGCCGCCCTTGCTCGCGGAGAGGAGGCTTGAGGGCAGGACGGGGGGGCAAGATAATGGCGTGAGCGAAGGCAGGATAGGTGGCCGAATCAAGCGGACAGATCGCCTAACATGTGTAGGGGAGGACGATTTCATGGGGGCCGGGGGCGAGGCAGGACGAGTTGCTTCCCGCCCCCGACTCTATCCCCCGTCTTCCCTTCTCTTTGCGTCCCCCTCCCTTCCCTCCTTGGAAGGAAAAGTAATCATGCGCCCAACACCATAAACAAAAACTGCAAATGCAAATTCATAACCTGCGTTCGCACATAGGAGTAGAACTCACGCGGACGATTACTTTAGCGTAACAGCACTGTGACTCTTGAGGGAGAAGAAACGGTGGACGAGCAGAACGCGCGCTGTCGGCCAGATGATCGCACGAAAACTGCCCCCTCCCACACTCCGTCCCTTTCCTATCGCTCCCTCCTTCGCAGTCTCATCCTTCCCCCCCTGTCGAGGACCGCCCGCGAGAGCTGGCGATGGGTCGGCAAGCGATCCAGCGAGCAACGGCCACGTCTGAGGACCCCGACTTTGAGGAGGGCTAAGGCGAGGGTGACTAGTTTTTCTTTGGGCTGCCTTCAGGGCCAACCCGTGCCAAGCACACCTGCAAGCTGCAGGCTGGAGGCTGCTTGCAGCTGCTTGCATCGCTGGGCCCCCGCCTCCGCACGCCTGGGCGTCCTCAGACGCTCGGGTGCCCCCGCCCGCGCCTGTCTCTGTCGAAGCTCGTGTAGGCCAGCGCGTGGCAGAAGTCGAACATCTCCACGAAGGAGCCCTCCAGGGCGCGGCTGGAGAGGGCCGCCGGGCTGCTTCGTCGCCGCCCTCGCCTTCGCCCGCCATCTCATCTCCTCCTGCCTACGCGCCCATCCTCCCTTCTATCTTCGACGGGCCTCCTGCCTCCCCTCCTACGCCTCCTGCTTCGTGCCTGGCCTTCCTCTCTCCCCGAGCCTCCCTCCGGGGAGGTCCGGCACCGTGCGGTCGTGCGCGCTGCTGCTGCCAAATGACGCCCGCCACCGCTTCTTGCCTCCTCCCTTTCTCCCTCCCATCTCCCACCCGGCTCCTTCCCCGCCTCTTTCTCGGGAGCGGCCAAGAGGGGGGTGTCCAAGAGGGGGGGGTGCAAATCATGACCGGCGGCATGTGCACGGCCCAGCGGGGGGGCCAGGGACGTAATGAAATAAGAAGAGGCGCCACGAGATCTCGGGAAATATCATGGCCCCCGCCATGATATCCACCCCCCCCCAGTCATCACCCCCCTCTTTTCCGCCCCCGACTTTCGTGGCTCCACTCTCGTGAGCTCCCGGGAGGTCCAGTGGAGCAAGGTCCTTCAAGCGGCGCCCAAACGGGACAGCGCATCCCTGGGGGCTGCCGCGAGCGCACCTGCCGCCGGGGGAGGTGCAGCGGAGCGACGTCCTAAAAGGGGCCCAAATTGGGCCTCGCGCAGACTGCGCGCCGCCAACTGCGCAGCTGCCGCCACTTTCGTGGGTTCCTGGGAGGTCCAGCGGAGCGACGTCTCCGAGGGATCCGAAGTGGACATCGTGCTCCCTGGGGGCTGCCACCTGCGCAGCTGTCACGGTGCGGAGAAAAGACATCGCGCTCCCTTCGTCACCGGGTGGGACCATGCGCTCACTGGGTGCTGAGGCCCACTGCCCAGCTGTCGCAACCTCCGTGAGCTCGAGCTGCTAAGCTCAATAGCGGAGCAAAGTCACCAGCGGTCCCAAAGTGTACCTCGCGCACCCTGTGCGCTGCCACGTGCGCAACTGCCACAACTTCGGCGGGCATCTGGGAGGTCGAGCAGAGCGACGTCCTACAAACTGAAACGTCGCGCGAACTGCGAGAGCTGCCTACTGCACAGTGGTCATCACTTTCGTGAGCCCCTGGGAGGCCCAGCGTGACGCAGTTTTACGCACAACAAATTGAAAGCTCGCCCTACCTGTTAGGTTCTGCCACCTGCGCAATGGTCGCAACTCTCGGCAGTCCTTGGGAAATACAGTAGGCTGGTGGTGTCCTACGCAGATCAAAATGAGACCTCGCCCTGCCTGAGTGCTGCCATGTGCGTAACTGTCGCCGCTGTCGTGAACCCCTGGGAGTTCCAGCCAGCGGAGTGGCGCCCCAAGCCGACTCATCAAATAGTGTTGCCAGACGTCTCGGGTGGGTTGGGCACGTCCCTGGGTAAGTTATCATTGACATTATCTAATTTGCTCTTGTGCTCCGCCGTCGCCATTGTTACCTACGCTGTCGTCGGAATTGCAGTCGTCGTTGCTGCCGCTGTCGTTGCCCTCCTCGTTTCCTGCTATCAACTCGTCCCTCCGTCTCCTCATCTCACTCTCGCTGACCAGCCGAGGCCACAAGTGTGTTCGCGGGCATAGCTCCACGGCGATCGCGACCACGGTCACGAAACATCCGGTGTGGTTTCAGACGTGGTCGTGCGAGTTCTCGTGGACGCACGACCCCCGTTACCAAACTGCTCCAGACGAGACCACGACAAGTCGACTTCCGTACATGACCGCTGCAAGACATGACACACATACACACACAAGTTCCATGGACAAGTGATTCAGCCATTCCGAGAACAAACCGAAAACACTGAATTGGAAGATACCATGGGCAAGACAATGTTGCTTCATGCGATGCAACTAAACAGGTGTTCCGATGAGTTCATTGCCATCAAGCAAAGAGCCATTGTGTCGCAGCGGCGGGTCTCGCTAACTTCCTGGAGCGTGGGTGGGTGATCCAGTCTACGAAGTGCACGAGAGGGCCCGCCCAGAGCCCGAATACATCCATATCCACCTCCCGCCGAGTTTCCCCATTACCGCTCCCCCAAGCGGTGGTTATGTAGGAACCCCCACCGCGGAACATCACCGACCAAACTTGATCCACGACCCGATCCTGACCGTGGTCCTGCTTCATCTGTGCCAGGGCGTAAATATCTTTTTCTGTCGAGAAACATCCAGTCGACTCGACACACACTAGCGACTTGATCGAGCCCAAATCGACGGATCGAACTCTTCTGCTGAACTTGTCACACATTGTGGAGCCACTGCAACGCTGTCAGAAGGAAAAAGGAGCGACACCCAGCGGCATGGCCTCATCGGCTTTGCCTGCCCACCACTCGGCTGTCCCACCGCGCGGCCCTCCTAGCCTGTCCCCATGCAGCCAGTCTCGAGCTGATCCCAACCCCTCAGATCTGAGGGGTGCGCCCTCAGAAACAATCAGGGGCACGCAAACATGGATTAGCGATCCATGGATTTGACGCGCGGTCGCCAAATCCATGGATCAGGGGAGGTGCCCTCCCCAAAATGCGGCCGGTGCCGCCTCGCTCGGCGGCGAAAATCCGCGATTCCCCGTGGAAACGGGACCCGTCGCTAATCCATGCCCCCTTAATCCATGATTGCGATCGCCTGAAACAAAGGGAATCCTTGAGATCGGCATCGAAACAAAGTCATGCCAACACGGATACTGATCTGCCCCAAGCCAGCACCCGTGCGCCGCCCCCGCCTGCGCCCCCGCCCTTTACCTCCGCCGCTTCCCGTGCCCCTGTGTGGCGAAACGCTGCTCGTGCTGCCGCCCAAGGACGGCAACTAATAAGACAGGCAACCGCACGTGAACCCTGGCAGGGTTCACAGTTGGTGGGTTTACTTTCCACCACCACCATAAGTAGGAGGGTGAGGGGATCATCCTCCTCCTCCTGCTCTTTCTCCTCCTCATCCTCCACCTCCTCCCCCCCTCCAACTTATGGTGGTGGTGGAAAACAAGCCCATCAATAGTTCTACGTCGCAGCGCAGCAGAGGCACTCCGCCCGCCCGCATGTGAGCCTTGGTCGGGTTCCCATGCGGTTCCGCTCGTTCTGGGCCCGGCGGGTGTCGGTTTTGCTCTGTGTTGGGATGCCCTTTTGTCTCCTGCTTCGGTCGACCGCAGCACGGAACGTTGAACACGAAAAACACATCGCCCCCAGCGCTGTTGGGGACAATTGAGAACCCTATCCCTGCAAGTCGGAGTTCTCAATGACTGGTCGAGCAGTCTGAAATTGAAGAATGTCTGCAGCCAGGTGTAAACCCCAGCGGGTATGTCCAACACCCCAGCGTCGACGGAACCCGTAGGCGTGGGGTATGCTTCGCAAGCGGTTGCGGATAATACCAACGAGTCTCCGAGGAATGCAGCCAAGCGCTTCGTCGAAGGCTGAATCGTGGGCGAAAAACATATCCTTGTCTGCGGCCTTGCGGGCTGGTCCCCCGGGCTGCGACCCCGCGGATGCGGGGCGTTTTCTCGCGGATGCCCCGTGCGGAACGTATCCCTGCGACTGCGAATCCGCAGGATCGCGGAATGCTGCTCATGACTGAATCCGATGGGCTCTGGTTGCTGCGAAGGCAGACGGCCTCAAATAATCAGTGTCCAAGCCGGGTTGGGAGCGATGCGTCCTGGCGCCCAACGGAAGCCATACTCTTGTACATGTCGATCACCCATGGCCTCATAATGAGGAAGGGGAAAGAGGCAGGTCGGAGGGAATGAGGGAAGGACGTATATGAGGGGGCCCTGGGACACACAAATAAATACACAGAAATACAAATATTCCCCATATTTCCCCACATTTTCTGGGTCCTTGCCTTCCCGCCCAATTCCCATATGTTCCCATATTTTCTGGGGGATCGACGATGAATTGTGTCTGTGTGCGTTTTTCCCTCCTGGATGCATTTGGATAACCGGACGGCCACAGCTCGTGCCAGGCAGCCGTGCTCGGACCCCATCCCAGCGGAGCTCCCCACGCAGATCCGCGAGCAGAGGAGACGGGCGTGCGCGGCACCCAAGCCCTCAACGACTCTCGCGGCACCCATCCCTGCGCCCTCCTCGTTCTCCACCCCCTCGTCTTCATTCAGTGCCGCGTTGCAACTTTCGTGCTCCGGTGGCGTTGGGAAGAGGAGGGAGACCGAGACGGGCGTGCGCGGCACCCAAGCCCTCAACGACTCTCGCGGCACCCATCCCTGGGTCCTCCTTCGGAAGCTGGGCGAGGGCTGCTGAAACCGTGGCTGCCAAAACGGCCCTCCCGGAAGGAAAAAGCAGCTTCCCAGAATGCGGCGCGGCACGCGAAACAGTCAACGGGCTTCTTCCAGGAAGCGCGAAGCCAACTTCCCGGAGGTCGATTTTAGCAGCCACGGACTTAGCAGCCCTTGCCCGGATTCCGACTCCTCGTTCTCCACCCCCTCGTCTCAATTCAATGCCGCGTTGCAACTTTCGTGCTCCGGTGGCGTTGGCAAGAAGAGGGAGACCGAGGCGATGAAGGGAGTCGCAGCGGGCGGTGAGGTGGGGAGGGGTCGGCAGGTGGGAGGGGAGGTGAAGAAGAGGGGGACCAGAGAGAGGCGAGAGGGGGGCGAGAGGAGAGGAGAAGCAGTCGGAGCGCGATGGGGGAGGAGAGGGCAGACGCGGAAGGGGGAGCCGGGCGGGGGCAGCACGGAGAGGGAGTGGCCCAGGCCTCCAACGCAGTGGCTTCGTCACGTGCCCCCCCCCCAGGTCTGGGCCCCTTCCCCCGGAGCAGCGCTTCACCCTGGGTCGGTCTCGGACGACCAAGGGCCCCGAGGCGGGCAATGACGAAGGACCTTCCATCGGCCTGGATTGTTCATGGCGCGAGGACGTCAGGGGAGAGGAGGGGAGCGCTGAGGGGGGGGGGAGCTGGGCCCAGGTGGGCGGCAGAGGAGAAGGCGAAAGCGAGGGGGCGGGGGGATACATGCGCCAGCCACCGCACGCCCCTCGCAGCAGCCCCCCTCGCCCAGCCTCGGAGGCCGCTGAAGTTCGCCACGGAGTCGGAGCCCGGGTGGTATGCCATCGTGAGCACCGGGGGGCCCTGACGCCCCCTTACTCTCCATCCTCGTTCCTCTATCCTCCTTCCTCCTTCCTCCTCTCTCTTCCTCCTCCTCCTTCTCCTCCTCCTCCTCCTTTTTCTTTTCTCATTCCTCTTCCCTCATCTCTCTTCCTCCCCCTGCTCCACCGACTCCTCCTCCTTCTCCTTCCTCTCGCCTCTCGCTCCTGCTGCTCCTCCTCCTCCTCCTTTTTTACTCTCTACTCCCTACAAGTCGGAGGTTGGGGGGTGAGATCGCAATGGAACGGAGACCCCCACCTGGGGATTCGTTTCGTTTCGTTCGTGTCGTGCGTGCGGGCGAGGCGAAGCTGCGTGGGCGTGCGAGAGGAATGAACCCGCCGGTTAGGGCGAAGTCAAGACAAATGTTGCTCCCCCGTCCGTCCGTCCGTCTGTTCGTCCAGCGGTGGCCCTAGCGGTGTCCCGCGGTGTCCCGTGGTGTCCGCCGCTGCTAAGGCGAAATCAAGACAACTGTTCCGCTCCCGTCCGTCCGTCCTGCGGTGGCTCGCGGTGTCCCGCGGTCTCCCGTGGTGTCCCGTGGTGTCCGCCGTTGCTATGGCGAAGTCGAGACACATGATTCTCCCCCGCCCGCCCGTCCGTCCGTCCGTCTGGCGATGGCTCGCGGTGTCCCGCGGTGTCCCGTGGTGTCTCGTGGTATCCCGTTGAGTGAGATCGATAGTGAGATCGATCGAGAAATCGATACAGAGATCGATGTGGTGCCCCGAGTTGTCCCGTGGTGTCCCGTGGTGTCCCCAAAAATGTAATCGATAGTGAGATCGATAATGAGATCGACAAGTGTCCCGTGGTGTCCCGTGGAGCCCCCGTTGATTGAGATCGATCGTGAGATCGATGGTGAGATCGATTTGGTGTCTCGAGGTGTCCCGTGATGTACTATGGTGTCCCGTTGAGTGAGATCGATAGTGAGATCGATAGTGAGACCGATAGTGATATCGAGAGGTGTCCCGCGGTGTCCTGTGGTGTCCCGTGGTGTCCCGTGGTGGCCCGTTGAGTAAGATCGATAGTGAGATCGATTGTGAGGTCGAGGGGTGTCCCATGGTGTCCAGTGGTGTCCCGTGATGTCCCGTTGAGTGAAATCGATAGTGAGATCGATTGAGTCAGATGTTGGTTTCCCACCCTCTCCCCACCCACAACCTCCTTATCACCCCAAGGGTGGTCGTATAGGTACACATTATTAATACTGCTCTCTACTCCTCCCAGACTCCGTCCGCAAGATGCTCGGCCCACTCCGACTAGTGTAATTCACACACAGGATTTCAAGTAGGGTGCTCTTCATGGCTGCTGCCAAGAACTTTGTTTCCGGTGTTTCAGGTGCTCCGGCTGCAGCGGGGGCCTCGTTTTCGGATCGGCGCTTTGCTCCCATCGTGCAGAATGGCGCTCTCGCCCCAGCGCGGGCCACATTTCGGGTCTGGAGTCGAATCCTTTTTAGTCGCTGACGCCCCCGTCAATTCCTCTCCTTTGTCTTCTCCTGGTCCTCCACCTCTTCTCGCTCCTTCCTCTCCAGATCCTGCAGGTGGTCGTCCACGTCATCCTTCCTCATCATGTTCCTTTTCCGCGTGCTCATCGTGCCCAACCGCCACCTCCTCCTCCAGTGTACGCAGCTCCCTTTTTTCCGACTGTGCATAATACGATGGGGTATTATTTGGGGTTCCAGGTCTGCGATGACGCGTCGGCGGATAGGGAAGACACAGCGCAATGGGAAGGGATGGTTGGAGGGGTTAGGATGTCAGACATGGCGCAAGCGTATCTAGCTTGCCTCTCTCCTCTCCTTGTCCTCATCTCTCCTACCCCCTCCGACCTCCACCGTATAGATTCCAACTCCTCTTCCCCCCTTCAGACTCCAGATAGAGGAATTCCTGTGTCTGCCAGTCCTAAGTCGATGCAGTCGAACCTAGATTGGCTGTCGTGGCTGATTATTGGGATTGTTGAACCAGTTTGGTTGACGTTCTAATTCGCAAGATCGTTGCCCGAAGTCCACGATGAGTGGACAACACGGCCAGATTTCACACTTGACGCCATCATCGGATTCATGTGGGCCCGAACGCTTTTTGGCCTGCCATCAGTGGCTTCGCCGTGGATGACCCGCAAGTGCGAGTCGCCCAACTTCTGACCACATCAACGGTTGGAGCGGAGATCACGGACGTACCATAGACCTGAGAACCAGGGCGTAGCTAGCTTACGCAACTTAGTGACACGTCATGGCAACCTGTCAAGCACGGCTAGCATGGCGACATGCTCGAGACATTCCGCAACGGCTATCCTGCACGAGCGAGACATACAAGATCATGAACTTGCAACCGTCCGTTGACAAGATGTACAGACAGGACGCAATCTCCCGCTTTCTGAGTTGACGATGCCGCCAGTGCACCGTCACCGTCGTCACTGCGGACGTAGACTATCTTTTTGAACATGTGCTCGCAACAAGTACCCTGCCCGCGCTGCCCAACGAAATGATCCTTTCAGTCACGCGCTGGGAATTGACGAGGGGAGGGACTTCGCCGCTCTGGCTGGATCGACGCTGGCACGGAAAGACAATTCGCTAATCGACTGGCTGCCGAGGACTCATTCAATTTCGTCATCCACCGCGGAAATTGTGCAGCGGATGCACGGCATTTTGATCGGCGGCGGCAATTCCGGCATCGTGGCTTCCATTCTCCACTGTACTCAACTCTGTGCAAACCACCATATAGAATGACTCTTGCTGTCACGCGAACGCCAGCTTCTTCTTCCGTGGATGTGGCCAGGAGCACTGCATCAAGTCTGCTGCAAATTAGACAGCATTCCACTCGATCCCCCAGGAGCGCCCAAGAAAGGGGAGACATCTGATATGAATAAAGCCGGGCCCCGCTGTCCCCAAGGAGATCGCGAAGGCCAGGAACATTGCGCAGCTGGCGGCGCCCAGTGAGGGGGAGGTAATAGTTGGTCTGAAAAACAAAATCACGCCGCTCTCCATTCGACCACTCAAGAGCTCACGAAAGGACTGACGGTCGCCAAGGCCGGAGGGGGTAATACATCTGAAAGTATGAACAAGACCGTACGCCACTGTACATCCCACGGGCCCACAAAAGTGCCTACGCTTGCGCAGGTGGTGACGCCAAGGCAAGGGGTAGTACTTCGTATCGCAAGAAGACCGCAGTCCGCTTGACCCAAGTGCCGACGAAAGAACGTTATCTTTATTTCGCGATAGTGGCCGTTGCCGGCCCCGACCCCCCTCTGGTAACTTCACGGTTCGTGCCAGCGCCAGCTGGGAATGCTTAAGAATATCCCAGAATGCTCGGATAGCAGATGCCTAGTGGGATGGATCTGCCATGGCAGAACGCGGGCCAGGCTATGGATACGCAAGGCCTGCGATCGAAAACTTCGGGCAACGAGCGCAGAATAGGGGATTGGTGAGAATAGAATATCGCTGGGTAAAATCCTCTCTCTCTTCACTCCTCCGTGTCTCCCTCCTCCCCCTTCTCATCTCATCGTCGTCCTCTTCCTCCTCCTCCTCATTGCATTGCAAACTGCTTCGCGCAGAGACAGAATAATGAAGGACGGAGTCGAAAGGAAAGGACGAACGAACCACCACAACGGAGAGATGTCTGGGCCTAGCTAAGACCAGGTGGCGGGCCACGGCTTCTTGGATCTGGTACGCATGGAAAACACAGACATGCACTGAAGCCGCGAGACACACGAAAGACTACTACCAAGGTGGGAGCAATAGGAAGTCATGGTTGTGGATGGCGGCGCCGTGCTGCGTCGAATGTAGCGCTGCTCGATGGTCGACCAGGCTGAGATGTCTTTCACTGAGCGGACCCAGGTGCGGTCGTTCGGCTGGCGTTTTGCACTGGTTGGTGTGGTCGTTGTGTGCAGGTCGGGCTTGCGTTGTGGAAGGAATGTGATGGCATCATTGTCCCATCGCTTGCGCTGTTAAGCTTGTTGTCGGTGTCCGCACTGGCGTACACCCTGCGAAATGCTTAAGAAATCATGGGTTAAGAAATTCATAGTCTCAGAACTTGAATCAAAACCCAACATTTCTATCAACATCTTAAGATTTACATTGAAACGTTAAGAATCATCGAGACTCTGGCCGAAAACTGAAGTTTTCTAAAGCATCGCCTAAGGTGTAGATTTCCCTCCAGTTAGCAGCGGGTCACGCGCCACGTCCATCTGGCTGCCTCGTGGTCTGCAACCCTCGTTGCCGTGCGCCAAGGCCTCGGCTGTCGAACCGCCCCCCATGCTGCAAGGCGGCGGTGCTGTATGAGCTACGCTGCGCGCTGCGTGGCTCGTTTGAAGGGGAACTGGAACACACAAATAAATACACACAAATAAAAATATCCCCCATATTTTCCCATATTTTCTGGGTTTCTGTCTTCCCCCCCACTTCCAATATTTTCCCATATTTTCCTGGGAGTCGACGATTAATTGGTTAAGCGAAGGCACGCGCGCACTAAACGGAGAAGGAGGAAGAGGAGGAGGAAGGAGGACGAGGACGGGAGAAGGACAATGATGAAATCTTTCAATGGCAAAGCGGCCACGCGCGCCACCCTGATGGCGCGGGTCCGGCGGGACGCCGCGCCGCCCGCGCACGCGCACAGTGGCGTGCGCGCGTTCTGGCACGCCCTGCTGCCGCACGGCCCGAAAGCCGAGCGGAGCAGGGTACACAGGGAGCAAAGCGGGGTGGGTGGGCCCCCGAGTCCTGGCTCGATCTCGAGCCAACGACTACGGACCCAAAATGGCTAAGGCAAAGCCCCCACTTCCCTACGCTTAACCTGCAGTCTACCAACATAACAGACTATACAAGTTAAGCGAAGGCACGCGCGCACTAAACGGAGAAGGAGGAAGAGGAGGAGGAAGGAGGACGAGGACGGGAGAAGGACAATGATGAAATCTTTCAATGGCAAAGCGGCCACGCGCACCACCCTGATGGCGCGGGTCCGGCGGGACGCCGCGCCGCCCGCGCACGCGCACAGTGGCGCGCGCGCGTTCTGGCACGCCCTGCTGCCGCACGGCCAAAACCAAAAGAACGCAGCCGCGCGCGGGCGAAAGGCGCCCGAGCGCGCGCGACCACTGGCCTGCAAGCCTGAGGCCTTCCTGGAGCGGGCGCCAGGCCGCCCCGGCTGGGCAGCGCCCTGCCGGCGGCGTGCAACGCGCGCCCGAGCCGGCCCCCACGGCCTCGCCCAGGCGGGGGGGCTAAACGCTCCCCAGGGCCGCGCGTCGCCGGCCCGCCGGCGCGGAATCGCGCACGCGAAAAGCGCTAGCCGCGCGCGTCGCGCAGGACGCGACTCAGTACACGCAAAGAACGAGCGTGCGCAACGAGCGCGCGCATGCGAAAGCGCACGCGCGAGCTGGAGGCGCAAGCTGGCTGCAGCCCAGTGGACGCCACGAGGCCCGAGCAGCCCGTCGCTCCCCCCCGGTCCTCCTCCTTCTAATCCTCGTCGTCGGGCGGCTCCTGTGTGGCGGACAGCGCGCGGCCCTCGATGCCAGTGCTGCCGGCGAACATGCCAACGTAGGTCGATCCGCTCGCCCCTGTCGTCGCGCCCTTCGTCGGCGCGCCAGTCGCCGCCGCAGTCAGCACCGTGGTCGCCGTGGCGGCCAGGGCCGCTGTCGACGCCGATGTCGGCGCGACCGTCGGCGCCGCTGTCGGAGTAGCCGTCGGTGTCGTGACCAGTTCAGCCATAGGCGAACCGAACCGTGCATCTGCAGGTGCAGCGGCTAGTGCAACCGTCGTCGACGCTGTCCAGGCGGTTGTCTGCGCCGCGGCCAGGGCAACAGACAGACGACCCATCGGCGCTGCCGTTGGTGCAGCACCCGGCGAAGCCGTAGGCGACGAAGCCGGCGCAGCCGCCGCCGCCGCTGTAAACGGGGCGGCCCGAGCCGCAGCCGGAGCAGCGGTCGGTGCCGTAGACGGCGCGGCCGGCGGCGCAGCGGTCAGCGCCGCGGTCGGCACGGCGGCCAGAGCTGCCGTCGGCGACGCTATCGGCGCGGCCGTCGGCGCCGCCGCCAGCGCGGCTGTCGGAGTCGCTGTCGGCGCCGCGGTCGGTGCACTCGTCGGCGCTGCTGTCGGCGACGTCGTCGGCGCGGCCACCGTAGCCGCAGTCGGTGAGGCGGTCGGGGCCACCGTCGGCTCAGCTGTCAGTACCGCAGCCGCTGCCGCCGTCGGTGCCGCAATTGGCGCCGTTGTCGGTGCCACAATTGGCGCGGCTGTCGATACTGCAGCCGGCATGGCGGTCGGCGTAGCTGGCGGCGCCGCAGTCGGAGCCGGAGTCGGGAAACCCGTCGGGGAGCTAGTCGATGTCCCCGTTGTCGCCGAGGTCGCCGTGGCTGTCAGTGCCGCATCCCCCGGGGCCGCGGTAGCCACCGCCTCTGGCGCGAGACGCCCGTCCCACATGGGCGGGACCGCTGCTGACCCGGAGGCTGGCGCGCGCCGGGCGCCCCTGGCGGGCGAGGACGGGCGGGCATCCCTCGGGGCCGCGGCCGCAGCCGCCGCTGGCGTGCGCCGTCCGTCGCACATGGGTGGGCCAACGCCCGCCCCTGAGGCTGGTGCGAGCCGTGCGCCCCCGGCCGGTGCGAGTACGGTGGCGCCCCCCGGGGCCGCGGTGGCAGCTGCCTCCGGCGTGCGCCGCCCGTGAGGTCTGGGCTGCCTGGAGGCCGCCAGCGCAGACGCCAGCGCCGCTGTCGGTGCCGCCGTTGGCGCCTCGGCTGGTACAGCGGTCGGCGCATCTGTCATTGCAGCTGTCGGTGCCGTGGTCGGCGCAGCTGTCAGCGAGGCCGTCGATGCAGCCGTCGGCGTACCAGCCGTCTTATGACCCGCCAGCGCAGCCTCGATCTCCTCGGCAGCCTTTGGGCCGCTGTCCAGAACGTGCCAGTCATCCGAGGAGCCCTCCACGAGCGCGCCCTTCAAGTTCACCGCGCCAGCGCCGCTGTCGGCGCCGCGGCCGGCACCGAAATCAGCGCTGCAGTAGGGGCCGCTGTCGGCGCCCCCGTCGAGGATGCTGTCGGCGCGCCTGCTGGTGCCGCAGTCTGCGCGGCGGTCGGTGCCGCAGCCAGCGCAGCGGTTAACGCCGCTGGCGGGGTGGCCGTCAGTGCCACCGTAGGTGCCGCGGTCGGCGCGGCCGCGCCCGCCGCCCGAGCCGCCCCCCCCGGGCACGCCCTTGCGGGTTGCCTCGTAGGCGCCGCCGTCGGCGCCGCGGTCAGCGCCGAGGACGGTGCAGCAGTCGGTGCCATTGTCGGCGTAACTGACGAGGCTGTCGTCGGCGTGGCTGTCGAGGTAGCCGTCGGCGCGGCCGCCGGCGCCGCAGACAGCGTGGCTGCAGCCATTGGCGCCGCTGTCGGTGCCGCAGCCGGTGAGCCTGTCGGCGGGCCATTCGATCAGCCCGCTGGTGCCCTCGTAGGGCTCACGGTCGGCGCGGCAGTCGGCGCCGCGGTTGGCGCAGCCGTCGGCGCCGCAGTCGGCGCGGCTGTCCGCGCCGCAGGCTGCGCCACTGTCCCTGCCGATGCCGTCGCAACTGCCGACGTCGTCGCGGCTGCCCACTGTGCCGCGGTCAGCTCGGCCGTCAGCGCCGCAGGCATAGCCGTCGGCGTACCTGTAGGCAAGGCGGTCAGCGCCACGGTCGTCGCAGCTATCGGGGCCGCGGCCGGCGTAGCTGCAGTTGGCGCCGCTGCGTCTGTAGCTGCCAGCCCCGTCGCTCGGGCGCGTGCCATAGGCACCCCGGGCCTTGACCCGCTGCCTCACCTTCGTAACGTGAGCGACAAGGCCGCCCTCCACCGGAGCGTTCCCAACCGGGAGGCCGCAAGCTTTCGCGACGTCGAACGCCGTGTCACCGCTGCTGACCAGCTCGCACTCGGCGTCCGGCACGGGCTCGATCGCCACTGGCCTCACGCTCGCATCGGCGCTGTCCACGACGGCAGCCCTGCCAATGCCGCGGTTGGCGGAGACGCCAGTGACGCCGTCGGCGCGGTTGTCGGTGCCGTAATCGGTGCCGCGATCGACGCCGCCGTCGGCGCCGCTATCGGCGCGGCGGCTGCCGGTGCCGCAGCAATCGCAGGCGTCGGTGCCGCCGTTGGCGGTGCTGGCGGTGAAGCCGTGGGCGCGGGTGTCGGTGCAGCTGTCAGCGACGCAGTCGGCGCAGCTGTCGGCGAGGCTGCCGGCGCTGCCGACGGCGCGGGTGTCGGTGCTGCAGTTGGCGGAGCCGCCGGCGGAGCTGTAGGTGCGGGCGTCGGTGCAGCTGTCGGCGATACCGCCAGCGCAGCTGTCGGCGATGCTGTCGGGGCAACGGTTGGCGCGGCTGTCCGCGCCGCAGCCGGCGGGGCTGCTGACGCCAGCGTCGGCGCAGCTGCTGGTGCGGCTGTCGACGAGGTGGTCGGTGAGGCCGTCGCACGTCGCCGCGGCCGTGACCATGGAGGCCGGTTGCTCCCCTATCGGACCGTACATCGCAAACATGAATGCCGAATGCTCGCCCATCGGACTGTACCAGATGCCCGTCTTGTCGCAGACGGCGCCGCTGCCGGAGCGGATTTCGGCAAGGCTGTCGGTCCCGCGGTGGGCGCACCTGTCGTTGCAACCGTCGCCGTCGGTAACGCCGTCGGCGCCGCTGTACGCGCGGCATTCGTCGCCACTGGCGGGTCTGCTGCCGGTGCCGCAGTTGTCGGAGCGGCTGTCGGTGCCGTCGGCGCCGCTGTCGGTGATGCCGTCGGCGCCCCTGCAGGTGTAGCTGCATGCGCCGCGGTCGGGGCGGCTGTCGGCGCCGCTGTCGGCGCAGCCGTCGGCGGGGCCGTCGGCGCAGCCGGCGGCAGCGCAGCTGTCGGCGAAACTGTCGACGCCGCAGTCGGGGCGGCAGCCGACGTCACTGGAGGCGCAGCCGCCGACGTGGCAGTCGCTACCCTCTACGGTCGCCGTCGGCCTCGCTGGGCAGTCGATGCCGCGGTTAACGCAGATCGCGGCGAAACTGGTGGTGCGGCCCTCAATGCGGCCGTCGGTGATGCTGTCGACGCTGCTGTGGGCGGGGCTGTCGGCGCCGTCGTCGACGCCGCCGCCGGCGCCGCTGTTGGCGCCACTATCGGCGAGGCTGCCGGCCGAAAGTCGCACTAAGCCGGGCAGGGTCGCCGCTGGCACTTCGCCCCTGAGGCTTGTCCCCACGCGGCTTGACCAAGCGGCGCCCTGGCCCTCAACCAGCAACGCCCCTCCCGCGTGAACCTCGCCCCTAAGGCTGGCCCCCCCGCGGAAAGGCCCGGCCGGGCCAGGGCCCGCAGCACGCGGTGGGTTGTCGTGGATGACCCAATCAGAGAACGCCTCCTTCAAGCACGACCGCACTGGGAGTACCAGCACACGGCGGGGCACGCCCAGCATGTCCAGGAACGCCAAGGCGCCGTGGGACACCGGTAAGCCCAGGTGCTCCCGCATGCCGTCGAGCACCAGCATGATCTGCACCTCGGGCGAGCCGAGGAGTAGGAGCGTGCGCGTGGACGCGAGCGCGCCCCTGCGTCCCAGCGCGCCGGGGGGCACAGCCCCGCCACCAAGCACGCGTGCACCGTTGAGCACCGGCGCGCCTGTGAGCCCCCGCCCGCAGTGGATTAAGGGTAGACCCGCCGCTGGGGTTCCGCTCCTCGAGCTGATCCCCTCGCAACTGGGCCAAGTCGAGCCCTTTCCACCGCGATCCAGGCCAAAACCTCCAGAGCCGTCTCGGCCAGGTACGCACGCTGGCCCACGGCCGCCGAGGTTGGGCGTGCCAGGGGACGCGTGATCAGGTAGGTGTAGGCGCGCTGCGACCGGCAGGCAGTCGAACATTCGCTTGCCCGTGAACTCGGTCGTCGGCGGGGATGACCTGGCCAAGGAGAAGTCGCGCTTGTCGCAATACATCAGCGTCGACGGGCCATCGAGCACGAGCATCGGGGCGCGCATGAACACCGGCGTGCTGTCAAGCGAGAGCGCCCGGGTGCAAAAGAGGGCCCGCACGTCGGGGAGCGCCCGGGCGCTCCGGGGTCCGTGCATGTCCCTGGGCGCGACCACACCAGGCACCAGCCTGCCCAAGAAGAGCAAGGCCTTCGCGTCGACGTGCGTGCCATAGCGGGTACCGGTGTCAGCGCCGCCGTCGATGTTGGCGATGATGCTGGCCGCTACGGCCTCGGGGACCACGCCGGGCACGCTTGGGGTCCTCACCCAGACATCGAGGGCAAGGCCAGTGCCGCGGTCGATGCCGCCGTCGACGCCGCGGTTGGCGCCGCCGTTGTCGAGGCCGACGGGGGGGTGTCGCGCCGCGCTGGGCGGGACCGCCGCGGTGGGCTTCCCGCCCCGCGTCGGCGCGATGCCGGGCACCAGGGCGCACGCGTGCGCCACGTCCTCGGAGGCGGGGTCGGTGCCCTGGGTGATGTAACTGACAGCGTCACTGACGGTGAAGCCGCGGGCGCGGGTGTCGGCGCAGCTGTCGGTGATGCAGACGGCGCAGCTGTCGGCGGGGCTGACGATGCCGCAGACGGCGCGGGTGTCGGCGCTGCAGTTAGCGGGGCCGCCGGCGGAGCTGCAGGTGCGGACGTCGGCGCAGCTGTCGTCGATGCTGTCGTCGATGCTGTCGGCGCCCTCGGCGCTGCTGTCGGTGATGCCGCCGGCGCCCCTGCAGGCGTGGCCGCAAGCGCCGCGGTCGGGGCGGCTGTCGGCGCCGCCGTCGGCGCAGCCGTCGGCGGGGCCGTCGATGCGGCCGGCGGCAGCGCAGCTGTCGGCGAAACCGTCGACGCCGCAGTCGGGGTGGCAGCCGACGCAACTGGAGGCGCAGCCGCCAGCGCGGCTGTCGGGGCCGCAGCCGCCGGAGCGGCAATGGGTGCTGCCGTCGACGCCGCCAGGGCCAGTGACGCAGCCGTCGGCCAGGCTGTCAGCGCCGCAGCCGTCGGGACGGCAGTCGGCGCCGCCGCCGGCCCAGCCGCCGGCGGGGCCGTCGGGGCCGCCGTTGTCGGAGCGGCGGCGGGTGCTGCCGCCGACGCCGCCGACGACGCAGCTGTCGGAGCGACTATTGGGGCCGTCGGCGCCGCTCTCGGTGATACCGTCGGCGCCGCTGCCTGCGGTGCTGTCGGCGCCGCGGTCGGGGCGCCAATCGGTGCCGCCCTCGACGCCGCTGACGGCGCAACGGCCGGTGCGGCAATGGACTCCGCAGCCGTCGGAGCGGCAGCCGGTGCCGCCTGAGTGGCTGTTGGGGCCGCAGCTGTCGGAGCGGCAGTCAGTGCCGCCGTCGACGCTGCCGAGGCTGTTGGGGCTGCTGTCGGCGAAGCTATCGGTGCCGCAGTTGTCGGAACGGCAAAGGGCGCCGCCGTCGGCGCTGCCGTGGGCGTGGCTGTCGGGGCGCCGATCAGTGCCGCCCTCGACGCCGCTGGCGGCGCAACGGCCGGTGCGGCTGTTGGCTCCGGCGGCGCCGCGGTCGGTAATGTCCTCGGCGCGGCCGTCCCCACTGTCGGTGATGTTATCGGCGCAGCCGTCAGTGCCACGGTTGGCGCGACTGGCGCCGTCGCCGCCGCTGTCGGTGAAGCCGTCGATGCGACCGGCGCCGCTGTCGGTGAAGCCGTCGACGCGCCCGTAGCCAGCGCGGCCGTCGGCGCCGCGGTAGGCGCCGCCGTAGGTGCCATTGCAGCCGCTGCCCGCCCGCCGTCGCCTCCCGATGCCGAGTCTTGGCGCGCATCGGGTCGAGGCGCCGCTGTAGGTGCCACTGCAGCCGCTGCCCGCCCGCCGTCGCCTCCCGATGCCGAATCTTGGCGCACATCGGGTCGCTTTTGAGCCACCCCGGCACGCCTCCTCCTTCGGGTCCGCCGATGGTCCCGAAGAGGACGTGGTAGGGGGTGCCCCTCGGCCAATCCAATCACAACACAGTCCATGGGGTCTGCCGTGGAGCCCGGCCATGCCCTCGAAGTTGGGCTGGGGCACGCTCTCGACTACCGGCGCGCTGCAAAGCCCAGGCGCGCTTCGGAATGCGAGCGCGCTGATGGGCGTCAGCGTGCCAGTCGGCACCCACGCGCTGCCGAGCACCTGCGTGCCCTTGACAGAGGGCCCAGCTCCACGCCTCGCCAGGGCGTGCGCGCAATCCTCCACGTGACCCGAAGGTATGCGAACGGTGAGGTCCTCCGCCACCAGTAACCCAGCCGCTGGAACGTCGCCCCTCAGGCTCGTACCCTCGCGGCTAAGCCCCGCCGGCATGACCAACGCCAGCTGGGCGGTGCGTGCAGCCACGAAGCTGAACCGAGCGACGCCCGCCTCGTGGTGCGTGCCTCGGTGTGCGACTACGCCCACGGTCGCGCCGTCGGCGTCGGGGGCGCCGTCGCTGGCGCCGGGGCCGGCGGTGGCGCTGGCGGAGGCGCGGACGCCAGTGCCAGCGCGGGCGTTGTCGGCGGTGCGGGCGCCGGTTCCAGTGTATACGGTCGTGCCGACGTCGGCGTCGGTGCTGGTCTCTGCGCTGGTCTCGGCGTCGGCGCAGGCGCCTGCGTCAGCGTCGGCGCTGGCGTCGCCGCTGGCGTCGCTGTCGGCATAGGCGGCGCCGTCGGCGTCGACGTCGGCGGTGGCGGAGGCGGGGTCGCCCTCGCGGCAGTCCTCGCAACTGGGCAGGCGCGGAGCGGCATGCAGCGGTGGCAGCGAGGGTCGCTGCGACGCCCAGGCTGGGCCAGCCCCGTCGGCAGCGCGCGGCACGCGCCTGAGCTGGCCTCCACGGCCTCGCTCAGGCAGGGGGCAAACGCGACCCAGCCGCGCGGCGCCGGCCCGCCGGCGCGAAGCCGCGCCCGCGAAGGGCGCCAAACTCGCGTCGCGCGCTAAGCGTGACCGAAAATGGAACTGGCAGCGCGTGCGCGCAAGAACGCCCGCACGAGCTGCGCGGCCGATGCCCGTGCTGAGATCTCTGTCGGCGCCGGCGTTAGTCCCAGCCCCCGCGTTGGTATTGATGCTGACGCCGGCTCTCGCGGCGGCGTCGGCGCTGGTGCTGGCATCGGGGCTGGCGTTGATTTCGGCGTAGGCGGCGTCGCCGACAGCGCCTGCAGCGGCATCGGAGGCGCCGGCTTCGGCGCGGGCGTCGGTGCTGGTGCTGATGTGGGCGCAGGCCGGGATGCTGGGGCCGACCTCAACGCTGGCGTCGGCACCGGCGCCGGATCCCACGGCGGAAAAACCGGTGCCAAGCCTGGACCAACCCATGGCCCAAACCTCGCTGGCCCAGACCTCGGCGTGGGCGATAGCGCCGGGGCTGGCGCCTGCGCTGGCAGCCGAGTAGGCGACGGCGCCCGCGCGAGCCCTGGACCCGAGGGCGTTGATGCCGACATCGGCGGTGACGCTGGGAGCGGTGGCGCGGGCGTAGGCGTCGGCGCTGGCGCCGTCGCCGGCGTCGATGTCGGTGTAGGCGGGGACGTTGGGGGGGTCGACGCTGGCGTCGTAGGAGGCGCTGATGTTGGCGCAGGCGGTGACGACGGTGTCGACGACGGTGGCGGCGTCGGCGCTGGGAGCGGGGCCCCCGTCGGGGCCCGCGGCGCCGAGCCTGGCCCAGTCCATGTCCCAAACCTCGTCGGCCTCCACGTCCGTCTCGGCCCTGTCCGTCCCCGCTGCCCTCCACGGGCCGTCGACGTCGGCGCTGGCGTCGGTGGTGGCGGAGGCGGAGTCGCCCTCGCGGCAGCCCTCGCAGCTCGGCAGGCGCGGAGCGGCCTGCAGCGGCGGCGGCGAGGGCAACTGCGACGTCCCGGCTGGGCAGGCCCTGCCGGCAGCGTGCGGCGCGCGCCTGAGCTGGCCTCCACGGCCTCGCTCAGGCGGGGGGCAAACGCGACCCAACCGCACGGCGCCGGCCCGCTGGCGCGAAGCCGCGCCCGCGATGGGCGCAAGACGCGCGCGCCGCGCTTGCCGCGACGGAAAGCAGAACTGGCAGCGCGCGCACGCGAGAACGCCCGCGCGAGCTGCACGGCGCCTGCGGGGCCAAGCCCGTGCGTGCGGAAGCGCGTAGCCGGTAGCGCAGTCGCCGACGTTGGGGCCAGCGTCAGCGCCAGCGACGGCGTGGGCGCCGGCGCCCTTGCCGACGTCCCTGTCGGCGTCGGCGTTGGTCCCAGCCCCTGCGCTGGCATCGGTGCTGACGCCGACTCTCGCGGCGGCGTCGGCGCTGGCGCTGGCGTCGGAGTCCGCAAGGTCGGCTTTCCGCGGCACGTCCTGCACGATGTAGTCGAGCTTGGCCGGAACAGCCGTCCCAAGTCCTACGGCCTGCTGGACATGGGCGGCGTCGGCCTTCGGCTGCACGTCCTGGCCGATTTCGACGAGCCTAGAATGGGCACCCGTGATGGACACCTCGCACGGCTGGACCCGGGCGGGGTCGAACCTCCACTGCGCGCCAGCTAAGAAGCGGAACTGAGCAGCGTGCACCCCATGGTGCGTGCCCTGGTGTGCGACCACGCCCGCGACCGCGACGTCGGCGCCGGTGGCGCTGTCGCTGGCGCTGGGGCTGGCGGCGGCGCCGGCGTGGGCACGGGCGCCAGTGCCAGCGCGGGCGCGGGCGCCGTCGGCAGCGCAGGCGCTGGTCCCAGTGTAGGCGGTCACGTCGATGCCGGCGTCGGTGTCGGTCTCCGTGCCGGTTTCAGCGTCGGCGTAGGCGCCCGCGTCAGCGTCGGCGCTGCCGTCGCTATCGGAGCAGGCGGCGGCGTTGGCGTCGACGTCGGCGCTGGCGTCAGCAGTGGTGGAGGTGGAGTCGCCCGCGCGGCAGTCCTCGCGATTCGGCAGGCGCGGAGCGGCCCACGGCGGTGGCGGCGAGGGCAGTTGCGGCACCCCGGCTGGGCAAGCCCCGCCGGCAGCGCGCGGCGCGCGCCCGAGCTGGCCCCCACGGCCTCGCTCAGGCAGGGGACCAACGAGTCCCGATCGCGCGGCGCCGGCCCGCCGGCGCGAAGCCGCGCCCGCGAAGAGCCCGAGACGCGCGCGTCGCGCTAAGCGCGACAGAAAGCCGAACGGGCAGCGCGCGCGCGCGAGGAAGCCCGCGTGAGCGGCACGGAGCCTGCGGAGCCAAGCGCGCGCGCGCGGAAGCGTAGTGCTGGTGACGCGGTCGCTGACGTTGGGGCCAGCGTCGACGCCGGCGGCGGCGCGGGCGCCGGTGCCCGTGCAGACGCCCCTGTCGGCGTCGGCGTCGGCCCCGATCCCTGCGATGGTATCGCTGCTGACGCCGACCGTCGCGGCGTCGTCGGGGCCGCCGCTGGGGTCGGCGGCGGCGTTGGTTTCGGCGTAGGCGGTGACGCCGCTGACGTCGTCTGCGTTGACGCCGATGCCGGTAGCGGGGCCCGCGTCAGCGCCGAGCCGGAGCCACTCTAAGTCCCAGACCTCGTCGTCCGTGCTGGCAAAGGCGCCGGTGTCGGAGCTGGCGGTGGTGCAAGCGTCGGCGCCGGTCGCGGCGTTGGCGGTCGCGGTGGCGGTAGCGCCTGCATCGGCATCGGAGGCGTCGGCGTTGGCGCGGACGTCGGTGCTGGCGCTGACGTTGGCGTAGGCCGTGATGCTGGAGCCGACCTCAACGCTGGCGTCGGTGCGGGTGCCGAGTCCCACGTCGGGGCTCCTGGCGCCAGGTCTGGACCAACGCACGGCCCAGACCTCGCCGGCCTCCGAGCGGGTGAGGGCGATAGCGTCGGTGCTGGCGCCTGCGCTCGCCGCCGGGTGTGCGGCGGCGCCCACGCGGGCCTCGCAACCGAGGGCGTTGACGCCGGCGTCGTCGGTGACGTTGGGAGCGTGGGCGCTGGCGCCTGAGCTGGCGGCCGCGGAAGCGGCAACGCCCTCATAGGCGTCGGAGCCGGGGGCGCGATCGCCGGCGTCGGGCTCGGCGGCGGCCTCGGCGTAGGCGCCCGCGCTGGCGTCGTCGCTGGCGTTGTAGGCGGCGGAGGCGGAGACATTGGGGGCGTCGGCGCTAGCGTCGCAGGAGGCGGCCCCGGTGCCAGCCCGTGTATCGGCGTCGATGTCAGCGTCGGCGTTGGCGTCGGCGCTGACGATGGCGCAGGCGGTGACGGCGGGGTCGACGACGGTGGTGGCGTCAATGCTGGGAACGGGGCCCTCCTGCTTGGCCTCCGGTAGCGCCCGCCCCGCCGCCTCCGCAGTTGCCCGCTCAGAGTGGTGCCCCGCGAGCGCGCCTCGGGCCCCCTCAAGGGGCAGGGCGCGCCGGCGCAGCCGCGCTTTCAGCTCGGGGCCAGCGCCGCGCCAAAGATCCGGAGCCGGCGGCGGGGGCGCCGCGTTGCGATATGCGCCAGCTCCGGCATCGGCGTCGCCGGTCGCGGCGGCGGCGGCGAAAGTGCTGGCGCCGGCGGAGGCGTCGAAGTCGCGGCCGCCGGCGTCAGCGGGCGCGTCGCAAATGGCGTCGGCGTCGGCGCGGGCGCGGGCGCAGGCGATGGGGCCAGCGCGGGCGACGGCGGAGGCGTAGGTGTCGGTGCGGTCGTCGGCGCCGGCGTCGCCCAGGTGCACAGCGCCGAGCTCCACGTCCGCGCCTGTCCACGACCCCATGCGCGCCCCCCCGTTGCGGTACTCCCTGGTGTCAGAGTCGGCGGGGGCACGGGCGCCGACGCTGGCACCGGCGCGGGCCTCGGCGACGGCGCGGGCGCTGGCGCCAACGGAGCCCCAGCAACCCGCCGGCAACCGGGCGCCGTGGACGTCCTCGTGGGCGCGGACCAGTTTGACCTCTGACCCTCCCGGCACCCCCGCATCGTCGTCGCCATCGTCGCCCGCTCCCGGCGCCCGGCCCGAGGCAGCCGCGGAGTCGCCCAGGGCGCGATGCTCCCCGAGGCTGGTCTCCTCGGGCTCCTCGGGAATGAGCTCCCCCTGGATAGTGGTCCTCCTCATCCTCCTCCGCCTCCTCATCCTCGCTCTCGGAAAGACCTCCTCCCTCGCCGCTCCTTCGCCTCCGCCGCCCACTCCTCTTCCTCCTCTGCCGCCGGCCCCTTCGGTCGGAGCGACCCCGCCGGGCTCGCGCGAGGGCGGCGGGACCGCCCGCTCGGTCTCATCGTCCCCAGCGGCGCGTGGCTCCGTGACAAAGTCCGCGGTGCCTACTCCTGCCTCGCCCCCCGTCTCTGCGGCAGCCTCGAGCTCGTCGACGCGGGCCCGCAGGTTCTCGGCGATCGTGGCCCCCAGCTCGAGGTTCGTCGTCAGGCGGTCGATCCATGCCAACAGGCCGTCGATCCACGCCCACAAGTTGTCGACGTCGACGTCCGCGCGGCTCCCCGCCAAGGCCTCCTCGGCACGGAATCTGCGCGCCCGCTCGTACTCGCGCGCCTGGCTCTTCCCTTGGGCGAGCCTCTCGGCCATCCTCTGTCGCCGTGCCGTCTCCTGCCGGCGAGTCGCCTCCTCTTCGTAAGCCTGGCGCCACGCTTCGGCTCCCTCGGCGGCACGAGACCGCTCGGCCTCCAGAGCAGTGCACCGCGACCGGGCCTCGGCCAGGTTCTCCCCGGCGTCGAGTGCCTCGGTCGCCCAAAGCTGCAGGTTGGTGCCTTTCTCGGCCAGCTCAGCCTCCATGCGGCGATGTCGGAACTCTGCGCCCAACGCGCAGCAGGCCAACCAGCCAGCAACCAGCCAGCTGAAGCGCAGCGGGTCGAAGCTCGGCGCTGCCTCGCCGGGCCCGTAGGTGCTCAGGGACCCCGTCGGCTGGCCTGATGCCTCGCCGGGTCTCCCGGGATGCGTGGGCGGGGTGCGTGGCTCTTCCCTACTGGGACCGCCCTGCCTGGACGATCCAATGATGCCCCGCGGACATCATTATGGGAAAAGACAACATTTCTTGGTTTTGACTAACAACGTGCGTTGTTTTTTTGTAACGGTATGGGTTAATTAGCGATGCGCATGCTATCGAAGCTCTCATCGTTCGCGTTCATCGCGCGCATCAGGCACTGAAGACGCGCACGCCGCGTTTATTCCCTAGCGCGCGCGAGCGAGGGCGCCGTGCGCTGCGCCAAGCCTAGCCCAGATTTGAAATTCCATTACCAGATCTAAAGAGGCGGTAGACACCACACCGCGCGCGCAAGCATAGTTTCCAATTCATACCGCGGGAAGCCTGGTATTATCCAATCGCGGGAAAACCCAATGTAAACATTAATTCTCAGATCGGAAGAGGCGGCCCTCAAAATATGACAATAGATGCACATGGTAAATTAGCGCACCGCGAACCCGAGCGCGCGCGCGCGCGAGCGTCTGATGCATGAACAATCGTTTTGAATTAGAATCGCAAGCTGGCAAATGTTAATTCGAAAAACCAGTTGGGAAAACCGAGTTGTACAGCTTCAGTCTCAGATCGGAAGGGGCGGCCATCTCAATATGAAATAGATGTGAACCTGCAAACTCAGTGCGCCGAGCGCGCGTCTGATGCACAGGGCATAGTTTTAAAAGTAAACCGCAAGCAGCCAGGCCAATGTTAATTCGAAAAACCAATCCGCAAAACCACTTGTAGCATTTCATTCTGAAAGCGGAAGAGGCGACCATCTTACTGTGAAAAATATGAAGCACTTCACAAATTCAGTGAGCCGCGCGCGCGTCTGCGTTCTGTAATGTCCACAAGACAAATGAGTCGACGCGTCCGTCGGCCTCCTGAAAGACCCGCAGAAGTTTTGATTTCGAACTCAGACGCGCGCGCGCACGCGCGCTGCGCATGAAGTTCCAGTTTCCTGCACATTGCACGTTGAGATGACAACCTCTTAGGATCGGAGAATGGACCTTTTCATTCGGTTCATTCAAAAACTATGCTGCGCACGCCAGACGCTCGCACGCGCGCGCGCCTGAGTTATGTATTGTCCGCAAGAGAAGAAATCGACATGTAAGCCCAAAATCTAAATTCAAAAATTCTGTGGCGCCGAGGGACGTGTAGATTTCTTTGCATTGTGGACAATGCAGAACGCAGACGCGCGCGCGCACCCCTGTGTTCTGCATTGCCCATGATAGAAGACATAGTCATGTAATTTCAAAAACTAGATTTAAAGATCTGTGGCTCTATGATGAGGCCGACGGACGTGTCGACTTTGTTGTGTCGTGGACAGCACATGTTTCAGACGCTCGCGCGCACGCGCACGCGCGCCCCCCTGACTTGTGTATTGTCCGCAATAGAAGACATGGACCTTAATTCCAAAAACAGAATTTAAAGTTCTATGGCTCTGTAAGGAGGCCGCCGGACCTGACGACTTTTTTGTAGAGTGGCAAGTGCAGAACTCAGACGCGCGCGCGCGCACCCCTGAGTTCAGCATTGTCCAAAATAGAAGACATGGGCATGTAATTCCAAAATAACCGAATTCAGAAGTTCTGTGGCTCTTTTAAGGAGGCCGAAGGACATGTCGACTTGTTTTGCGGTGTGGCCCATACAGAACCCAGACGCTCGCACGCGCGCGCGCGCTCCCTACTGCGCGCCCCCGCGCGCGCGCCCCCTCCCAGCGCGCGCACGCGCCCGCGCGCTCCCTCGCGCGCGCGCCCCCGCGTCCCTGCGCCCGCGCGCACCTCCGCGCTCGCCTCCGCGCGCCCGGCCGCCGCGCCCGCGCGCGCGCACCTCCCCGCTCGCGCGCGCGCGCGCTTCGCCGCGCGCGCGCGCGCCCCCTCTCGCACGCGCGAACGCGCGCGCGCGCGCCGCGCGCGCGCTCCCTACCGCGCGCGCGCGCGCGCGCCCCCCCCTCCCCCGCGCGCGCCCGCGCGCCCCCGCGCGCGCGCGCGCCCCGCGTCCCCGCGCCCGCGCGCACCTCCCCGCTCGCATCCACGCGCCCGCACCGCTCGCACGCGCGCCGCCCACGCGCGCGCGCGCGCGCGCGCGCGCGCGCCCTCCTCCCCCGCGCGCGCGCGCCGCCCCTCCCGCGCGCGCGCGCGCGCGCGCACCCAAACCGCGCGCGCGCGCGCGCCCCCCTCCCGCGCGCGCGCGCGCGCGCTCCCCCTGCGCGCGCGCGCGCGCCCTCCTCCTCCCGCGCGCGCGCGCGCGCGCGCGCGCGCGCGCGCGCGCGCGCGCGCGCGCCGCCCCCCTCCCCGCGCGCGCGCGCGCGCTCCCCCTCCGCGCGCGCGCGCGCGCGCCCCCCCCCCCCCTCGCGCGCGCGCGCGCGCGCACCCGCGCGCGCGCGCGCCCCCTCCCGAGCGCGCGCGCGCTCTTGAGTTCTGTACTGTCAAGAATAGAAGACACCGACATGTAATTCCAAAAACTGAATTAAAAAAATCTGTGGCCCTTTAAGGAGGCCGAAGGACGCGTCCACTTCCCTGCGTTGGCGGCAATGCAAAACTCACGCGCGCGCGCCCCTGAGTTCTGAATTGCCCACAAGACATCGACATGTAATTCCAAGAAATAAATTAAAAAATCTGTGGTTCGTTAAGGAGGCCGAAGGACGTGCAGTTTGTTTTTTGGATATGTTTGCCAATGCAGAACTCAGATGCTCGCGCGCGCGCCTGAGTTCTGTATTGTCCACAATAGAAGACATTGACATGTAATTCCAACAACTGGATGAAAAAAATCTGTTACCCTTTAAGGAGGCCGAAGGACGTGCCGACTTTTCTGCATTGTGGACAATACAGAACTCAGACGCGCGCGCGCGCGCGGGTGAGTTCTGCATTGCCCACGATAGAAGACATCGACATGTAATTCCAAAAACTAAATTAAAAAATTCTGTGGCTCTTTAAGGAGGCCGAAGGACGTGTCGACTTTTCTGCATGGTGGACAATACAGAACTCACACGCGCGCGCGCGCGGGTGAGTTCTGCATTGCCCACGATAGAAGAGATCGACATGTAATCCCAAAAACTAAATTAAAAAATTCTGTGGCTCTTTAAGGAGGCCGAAGGACGTGTCGACTCTTTTGTATTTTTGCCAATACAGAACTCAGATGCTCGCACGCGCGCGCGCGCCTGCTGAATTCTGTTTTGCCCACAACAGAAGAACTTGACATGTACGTCTAGATTTGTTGTTGTTAAAAATCTGTGGTTTTTTAAGGAGGCAGACGGACGCGCTGAATTTGTTTGCATGAATGTGGACAGCGCAGAACTCAGATGCCCACACGCGCGCGCGTGGTTTCTGTATTGTTCACAATCCAAGAAATCGACATGTAGTTCCCAAAAAAACTGAATTCAAAAATTCTGTGGCTCTTTAACGAGGCCGACGGACGTGTTGACTTTGTGGTATTGTGGACAATACAGAACTCACACGCGCGCGCGTGCCTGAGTTCTGTATTGTCCACAACAGAAGAAATCGACATATAATTCCAAAAAATGAATTAAAACATTCTGCGTCTCTTTAAGGAGGCCGACTGACGCGTCGTTTTTTTCTGCATTGTGGACATGTAATTCTCAAAACTGAATTAAAACATTCTCTGGCTATTTAAGGAGGCCGACGGACGTGTCGACTTTGTTGTATCGTGGACAATACAGGTGTCAGACGCTCGCACGCGCGGGCGCACGCGCCCCTGAGTTCTGCATTGTTTACAATACAAGGCATCGACATGTAATTCCAAAAACTGAATTAAAACATTGTGTGGCCCTGTAAGGAGGCCGGCGAATGCGTCTACTTTCTTGCGTTGGTGACAATACAGAACTCACGCGCGCGCCTGAGTTCTGCATTGTCCACGATACAAGACATCGACATATAATTCCAAAAACTGAATTAAAACATTCTGTGGCTCTTTAAGGAGGCCGAAGGATGTGCCGACTTTTTGTTATATATTGGGCAATCCAGAACTCAGATGCTCGCGCGCGCGCGCCTGAGTTCTCCAAAAACTGGTTGGAAAAATTGTGTTGCTCTTAAGGAGGCAGACGGACGTGTCGACTTTTTTGGAGTTGTGGCCAAGAAAGAACTCAGATGCTCGCATGCGCGCGCGCGCGCGTGAGTTCTGTATTGTCCACAATAGAAGACATCGACCTGTAATTCCAAAACCTGAATTCAAAAATTCTGTGGCTCTTTAAGGAGGCCGACGGAAGTGCCGACTTTTGTAGTATTGTGGCCAATAAAGAACTAACTCAGACGCGCGCGCGCGACTTCTACCTTTCGTCATGTTTCATGCTTGGACGACAACTTCTTCCGTTCTGGGAATGAGATTTGACAGCGGGATTTCCCGATTGGTTTTCGAGTTAACATTGGCCAGGCTGCTCACGAGTTAATTAAAACAAGTATGCTGCATGCATCAGACGCCCGCACGCGCGCGCGCGTGAGTTCTGTATTGTCCACAATAGAAGACATCGTCCTGTAATTCCAAAAACTGAATTCAAAAATTCTGTGGCTCTTTAAGGAGGCCGATGGACGCGTCGACTTTTTCTGTTTTGCTGACAATACCGAACTTAGACGCGGGCTCGCGGGCGCGCGCGGCGCACGAACTCTATGGTTTCATGGTTCATGTTTGGATGACAATTTTTTCCGATCTGAGAATGAATTTTCACATGTGGGTTTTCCCGATTGGTTTTTCGAGTGAACATTGGCCAGGCTGCCCACGATTTCATGTAAAAGCTATGTTGCGTGCATCAGACGCTGGCACGCGCGCGCGTCTGAGTTCTGCGCTGTCCACAATCGAAGAAATCGAC